TGAGAGTTGTCAACACCTTTTTGATTAAAGACCTTGTGTCCGAATTGCGTGACGTTGAACAACACTTTTTCCCCTTCCTTATAGCGTGCTGATTATTTCTCATTATTTTTTATATATAACATACGTTAACTAGGGTTTTGGAAAATGTTTGTAAACTCAAAATGCTAATTAAAAGCCATGGTAAAACGCGATCGCAATTCCTGCTAAGGGCAAGGTTCAACGCCCAGTTTAAACGTTGTGTCTTATTTGACCTATCGACTTAAGTTGCATCTCACACGGCAAGTTTGATAAAAAAAATTTAACGCAAGTTATTCGAATAACTATCTTCTAATATCTATTTTTCATAAATCTGCATAAAATACCACATACTTTTCGTTTCATTTAACTTGTGATGAAGGGGCTATGCTCTGAAATCATTTGCATTCTACGGCGGTTTAAGGTGTCAACTTACCGCTGGCTTACGATATACGTACAATACCCTAGGTGCCATGGTAGGCTTAAAATAAAAAAGAAAGGAAATATTTCTACAACATTATAAAACTGATAAAAGGAAATGTTAATTCAGATAGACAACTGCTACGAATATTTGATCTACTATTTATATTTGACATGTATTTGTATATTTTTTATGTATTTGAATATTTATAAGGAATGCTTTTGTTCGTTAATATAACATTGACTGATGTCGCTGTTGTTTTTGGTCTTTTTTCTTTCAGAAACTTAGCCGCAGAACTGCAGCCTTAGGACGAGCGAACTGGAATACAAGCAAGAAAGGGAAAGAAGCAGAAATATTAGTAATGGACGCAATGTCTAGCGAAGAGAGCTGTGTAGAAAGTGACGAAGAGGGCAACCCTAGGGTTACCAAATACTTCGTCAAACGGCTATCCTGGGAAAGTAGGGGGCTAAAAAAAATAAAAAGCAAATTAGACAAGGTATACAGAAAGAGCCATTCTAAAAGGGCTAGAGACAGAATCCTCCCATGGGAGAATTCTGATCATCTAGCTGTTCGGGATGTTCCCGGAAATATCCCTGAATGGGCCTACATTGATTATAGTATTGCACAAGATTAATTTTATTGTCAGTTAGTATACACGGACGTCTATATATGTAATTCTAGAACTTGCTGCCGCAGTTAGAATTTCATTTACAGTGTATATCCAGCTGGTCAATCCGTACATTCATATGCTGTAACAGCAATTTTTTAACATCACGCGAACTTATCTAAAAACAACGAAGCCAATCCATTGCATGTATTGATTGTGGTTGGTTTGGAAGAGGGGACTTTCGTAATCGGGCCGTTTGTATTTGTATTATTTAGTGATCATGGTTAGTTGTTATGTTATTCAAGGCAATCACACATTACAGATTATATTATATAGAATATTCATAACTCAAAAAAAACATACATTTACGAAAAAAAAAATTTTGATAAAATCAAAAATCGAAAATCAGAGAAACAGATTTWAAAAAAATGTCTTTATAAGTCTTAAAAGGAGACTTAAAACCATTTTTGCTTAACCTTTACTTAACATTTAGAGGTTAGTAAACCTGTAGTTACCATGTCTTTATAGGTCTTAACAGGAACCTTAAAACCATTTTTACTTAACCTTTACTTGACATTTAGAAGTTTAGTATACCTCCAGTTACTATGTCTTTACTGACATGATTAAAATAATAATCACGGACCTTTAATGTCACCTCTAAATGTTAAGTAAATACTCATTTTCGAGATTTACTATTCAGATTAAAGGACAATTATTTCATAAAGTGGTCTTTAATTGAGCTTTCAGGGTTATAAAATCTATTATTTCGTCCTGTGTTTGACTTAATGTATATATTTAGGCACTGCGGAGCTCCCGATACGGAAGTCACAGGTAAAAATAAAAAAGTTAAAATTAAGATCGGGCAAAAAATCTTCAATCATTTTTATTCGAGATGAAGATAATTTCTCCCATTATAAAAACAATGCAGTGACATCGAATCGAAATGCACTACTTTGTTTTCTTTGCGCGAGTATACTCTCCCACTTAGGAATTTTGCACATAACTCACCACCACCCCCAGGGCCTAGTTTTGTTCTTGGAAGATTCTTGGACAAAGTTTTTCAAGGCCGACAGTTTTAGGCTTTGAATCTCTTTTAGTTAAAAAAAACGAAAGATAACTACAGATAATCTAATACAATATCAAGTTTAGTAAAATTTACCTAGGATGTCTTTCATTGAAATCGAAAATCTGAAGATTTAGGGCAAATAAAGACCAAAAAACAGACTTGAAAACTGGTTAAGGTGGGTAGAAAATAACCTTACTTTTATAATTACGTCTTTTACAGAAAAAGACGAAGCTTACATACAGTTAAACATGACAAGAATAACTGAGACAAAATAGAAAATAATACAAAAGGCAAGGCAAAATACAAAATGACGAATTTCTTTTCAATAAAATTGCGTTTGTAACGTTTTTGAATATTATTTAGCTTTTTAAAGTGAAAGTATAGGTCTATACAATAACATCTCTCAAAAACACAAATTTAAGAGCAGTATTCTGTAAGCATAGAGAATACCTTGGCAGGGCAACCTCACCAAATCTCATAATATTCCATGCACAAATAGGCATTGAGGTACTATTCCAAAAAATGCTAATAGATTTTTGA